TGCCTCCTCGTGACATATCCCACACACTTGTTCTGTGCCTCCTCGTGACATATCCCACACACTTGTTCTGTGCCTCCTCGTGACATATCCCACACACTTGTTCTGTGCCTCCTCGTGACATATCCCACACACTTGTTCTGTGCCTCCTCGTGACATATCCCACACACTTGTTCTGTGCCTCCTCGTGACATATCCCACACACTTGTTCTGTGCCTCCTCGTGACATATCCCACACACTTGTTCTGTGCCTCCTAGTGACATATCCCACACACTTGTTCTGTGCCTCCTAGTGACATCTTGCACACACTTAAATTCATCCTCCCCTTCTTCTTCTCTCTCTCTCTCTCTGGAAATTCCGCCTGCTTCTCCTGCCTAGCTATTGGATAGCCAGCTCTTTATTAGACCAATCAGAAGGCGCCTTGGCAGAGGCACATCTCTACAGTGGAACAGATACTCTACAACACTAACAAGGCAGCTTCATATCCCTCACCAGAAGTCAAAACATTTCATCTCATTTGATGAGAATTCAGAGCAAGTGAACCTAGAAAATGTGATAAACAGAAAAACATATTTGGGGCTAAAACAATCAGATAAGAATTAAGTGGATAAATGATAGTACCACTGCATAGAGTGCTGCTTAAAATGTCTTTGTCTGCCTAGAGGGATATCACTAAGAGAATGTTAAAGGACACACTCCTTGTCTCTGCCATTCCACACTCATCTCAATCAACTAAAATTATGATAAGGGACATATTTTCTAAATTTATAGATAGTATAAAACTAAGAAGACCTGAATAAACAAAGAAAAAAGAAAATCTTAGTGGACAAAAATAGTGAGTGAAGTAGAAATTAGATAAAATTTAATGGGGGCAATATTAGATTCTACCCTTGTGTCCAAAGGGGGGTAGACAGCTAACAGTATTTCTGCTTATTGCTCTTGAGTTAAAATAGCTCCAAAATTCCTACTTCCCAAGACTGCTTCTTTAATAAACCAAGTTTCCAACACATGAACCTTGCTGGACACATTCACAGTGTTACAATCTATATCGTCACCTAGCCTTAAGCTAGAATGTATTGTAAGGATTGAGCTAAGTCCACCAAAATCATGAAACTTGCGATGTTGCAAAAACCTTTCTGCAAAAAGAAATACATTTACGTATGTCTGCTCCTGGATGGAAGTTTAAGCCTCTACATCATCTCGATGCATCTAAGAGCAACATCTGACCACTCATGTGGCTGTCCTAAGCACAGGGGAGAGTCCCTTTTAGAGTTAGCAGAGTAGAAAATTCATCCAAAATAAATTATTTCAAGCAGAAAGAATACTAATATTCAGACACTTCTACACTGCACTAGCTCTGTGAATCTTTATCTGTTGACATCAGCTTAATTTTCTCTGTACTTTCTGCATCACTAAGAAGTCCCCAGGGGCCGAGAGGAAATTCTGAGTGCTTCTCTGTGGTTGTTGCTAGGAAACAACATCCTTCGTATTGGAGTTCTCAGACTGAACCGCTGTGTGAAGTCACCGGTTCATAAAGGAAAACCTTTGGTAAATAGATTGTTTAGGTGTAAGTAAATTGATGTTCCTTCTCTGTGGCAAAATGTTCTCGTGTAACCTTTGAATAATAGTGTGCTTCTAGGCCTCTATTCTTCGCTTGGATCCAGCTGCCATTATTGTTCCCATGAGGACTCCAACATCTATATAAATGGGAGTGAGCATTCTCTGTTTCTCCCAAATCATCTGTAATTATCTCGGTGCCTAGAGCACTGTGAGTAATGAGTTTTAGTTAAACAAAGTGAAGTGAGCTTGGAAATAAAGACCCAGACCACTGACTGCCTAAGTTATTGGATTCTCTAGTCCCTACTCAGCCACAGGGAGGTACGTGTCTAGACATCCGGCAGATAGACGCCCAACACACTGCCTATGCCAACCCCACATAGACTATGCTTTCCTTTGCATACATATCTAGGACATAAATTAGACAAAAGAAAGAATAAATAATAACCACGATAAAACAGAAACAATTATAAATAGAACATACATAATGACAACTATGATGACAAACTTTAATCAGGCTTGTGTGAATATAGTCGTACTATGTGTTCTGGTGGAAGCTCTACCTGAGCCCCTGGCACACCATAATCATCCCAGAGTCTGAGATGATTAAGTGCAAGTCCCACCCCTCTCTCTCTCCCCAGACCTTGCCCCTCAGAAAGTCCACCAAACAGTGACCCCTCCCCTCAGAAAGTCCATCAAGAGTTAGTTCCTTCCCAGGGTTGCTCAAGACCATGCCAATAGGCTACTTAAGATGTGGCTGTGATATTTACCATGTGATTCCTCTCCCACCCTCCTGGTCACCCAGGAAAGTTTTGTTCTGTTCATTAAACCTGGATTTATTGATTCTTATTACATCAGCGGCACTGATATCTAATAACTGGGGATTCAAAACGTATGGCTATCAAGAAGGGTTACTGGAGTGAGCACTGGGGTACTGAGACAGTGGGTTGGATAACTGATATGATTACTGCGTGCCAGATGGGTGGAAATCATAAAAAGCTCCACATGAATGTGCTGGACAGAGGTCTCTTGCATCGTGGATGAACTAAAGCAGGAGAGCATGGGATTTCATAGCACAGCTAAGAATGATGTATGGTTCAAACTCATGATATGTATATGCTTGGAATTTTCCATTTAATATTTCCAGAAGACAGTTAACTGGGCCACCTAGGCTGTGGGAAGGGAAATTTTACATAAAAGAAAATGAATGTGAATATTAAAATCTGCTTTGGCTGGTTGTCACATTCAAGTTTTATTTAATGTTATGCTGTTGCCCAGAAGTAGGATCTAACAGGGCTGCCAGTTTGGCTCACCTCAGACACTCCCTTCTGCTCTCTTAAACTACAAACTGCCTGTGATGCTCACAACTGGAAGTGCTGCTCACCTTTTCCCCCTAGATTCTGACAACAAAGCAGAGCTGGCGGTCGGAATCTACCACCTTGTTAATTTAGAAAGCAGAGAAAGTCAGAAGCTTTTAATTCCTGGATGTGGAGACTATATATCTATGTGCTTCTCTATCCATTTGTCTACATAATTGTCTATATGTCTGCTTGTCTGTCTATCCATCCGTCAGCTATCCATCTAGTCATCTATCCATGAATCACTCATCTATCACATATCTATGTCTCCATCTGTCCATCATCAAACTTTCTATCACCTATCTAAAATCCATTCATCCATCACCCATCAATTTACTTATCAATCCATCCATCACACATCTATCTCTCCATTCACCCATAACTCATCTTTCTATCTACCCATCATCACACATCTATCTGTGTCTCTATCCATCCATCTACTGATCTATCCTCAATCCATCACCCAACTATCTATCCCCTTATGTATCCTTTTGTGGATTCTTAACAGATATTCAAAACAATGTTAAACATCAGTGTCACACTTTCATACCCAAGTTTGACATAAATCCCCAAAGCAACAATTAGTCCCAGGTAGATTGTGTTAAGCCCCATAGGTAAAGAGGATCAGACAGACTCTTAGAAACAATAGATAACATCTATTTTCATGTTTGTATTCGGGTCATTGTAGGTGGATTATTTCATATGGATATTATACCTTGAAGAAAGGGCAAGTTTTTTAAGCTAATGGGTTATAGTTTAATGAGAAATTAAATATATTGTAATACGTTGCAAAAAATGGTTATTTTATAGGGCATCAGGTATAAAACAGCTATTGTTCAATAAATTCAGGAATAAGAATTTTAAAAATTTTTGAAGAGTAATTTTAATTATTTAAGAAGTAAAATTGAGACTTTTTTTTTCTTATAACACACATCCTAAACGGGGGACAAGAAGAATGACTAAAATTTATTTCATTCTTGAAGTGATAAATTGATGCAATTCTTTGACACTTATATTTTAAGTGTCCAAATTTTAAGTTTCTAAATTTTAAACTTTAAAAAAAATCTTGAAAAAAATGTTACCATTTTAATCAAAAGTAGGCCAGCATAATGCATACTACAAAGAGCTCTTAGAGTTATCTTTGAAACATATGTCAGTAACTCTAATTTTAAAATGGTGCTTTTTTATTTGAGGTGAATATTAAAAGAAAATCAAAAATCTGGTAAAATGGCTTAGCTGGTAAAAATAGATTTTAAATGAACCAAATAGTTTTAGACTTTTTAAACCATATCCATGCATTATTCATGTTATACAGTTTACTCTTGTACACCATCATGACTCAGCACGACCACTGGCAAATGGGGACAGTACAGAAAGACATGAGCAGGCCATGAACACAGCACCTTCCATGCCAAGGCCAGGGACACACTTTCAACTGTCTTTATCCTTCTCTGGGTTCCTTGACATTAAAGCCTGCCCTCAGAGATCCAAAGAGATAAACAATTCATGAAGTACCTAGTATAATCAAGAATGTATATAATTCCTATGGTTTTACTTGTGTGTTGCCTATAATAATAGTACAATGGAAAAATATAAGCTTGGTTACTTTTCTAAATGAAATGTGTGTTCATTTTTAAATGCCTTGATCATTTATTCAAGATTTGATCTTTCACTATATTCTCATAACCTCTAGGCTCTCTTTTAATTACCGTATTTATCATTTGATTCTGTTTTTGTTCTTAGATAATACATAACCCAAATCCATTTCCAGAGCCCTGGAATACGACCACCTCTTACTTTAATAAAAGAGCGCCTGTCCATAGATACAATAAAAACAAATTTGTAGCAGGTTACAAAGGTTCAGAGAGTTTATGCTCACTAAAGCTAAATGATTTTTTCCCTCTGGGTAGCCACTCCCAACCCAACAGAAATTGCACTTGATGTAAGATCTATCTGCCATTCAAATCCAAAATGATACTCTTTGCCCTAGTCTGTTATGAATCTTCCTCTGGCTGGAATATTGTCTTCAGAATGCATCTCTAGACCGGCTGTGCTCTGTGTGACTAGGTTGTGCTTCTTCACTTCAGATGGCTATACCACTGATGACATCGAGTTTTACTGGAATGGAGGAGAGGGAGCAGTAACCGGGGTCAATAAAATCGAGCTTCCTCAGTTTTCAATTGTTGACTACAAGATGGTGTCCAAGAAGGTGGAGTTCACAACAGGTGAAGATGTTTCTTCCCTATTAATCCATGAATGTATGAAAAGGAGATGATGGTTCTAATCCAATGATTACCTTTCTTTCTTCCTTCCTCCCTTTCTTTCTTTTCTTTTCTTCCTTCCTTCCTCCCTTTCCCCCCTCCCTCCCTGCTACCTTCTTCCCCCTCTCTTCCTTCCTTTCTTTCTTCCTTTCTCTTTTAAACCCAGGGGCATATCCACGACTATCACTAAGTTTCCGCCTAAAGAGAAACATCGGTTACTTCATTTTGCAAACCTACATGCCTTCCACACTGATTACAATTCTGTCCTGGGTGTCATTTTGGATCAACTATGATGCATCTGCAGCCAGAGTCGCGCTAGGTAATGCCTTCCCACTTTTTCACAGTTAGTAAATCAGACCTTCAAACCAAGAAGCAATACTAGTGATCAAAAGTAAAAGCTTCATATAGCAAGTAAAAGAAGTAGGCTGCAATAGGATGCTTTAAAATAAAATATCCAGGACAAAGTATGGGTGCTTATAATGAGTGCAATATCTTTTAAAATGTGATAAAAATTTTTGAGTATGGTTCCCCATTGTATGAGTGTTTTGTGGAATACATGTTAGAACCTAGTATACCGTATGTTTCACCAAATGCATGATAACCTCCTCTTTAGTCTCTGCTTTTGACTCCGAGTTTTAATTAATTGTTTTAAAATAAACATGGAGGAAGCTTAACCTTTAGATGGTTAGCAAGCTGCATCCATTGTCAGGAAAGAGTACCCTTTGGTTGATCAAAATTAAAACACATGAAATCAAGTCTTTCCTTGAAATATTGATCATTATATTCAATAAGGCACAAGCAATTCATCGGCTATATTAATGATCTGTGATTGAGTCAGAATAAAAAATTGTTTCCTGTTTGCTGAAACAAAATCAGAATTAATCTTACCATGGTTGAGTAATTGCTGAAATTGAAAAGCTATATTGAGATTATAAATTTGGGGGGAGGGTTAGGATGTGTAAAATATGTCTGATGATCTCATGTAGCCATGTACAGGTCTACACTCAGACACATTTTAGATACCACTCCAGTTTCAGAGAGAAACACAAGAAGGGGGAGAAATATCACTTCTGCTAAGATAACTAATATCTCTTCTCTCAATTACTGAGTTGAATTAATTGACCAGTATATTCCTTAATTGGCATATCTCCAGCCCTCTTCAATTTACTTAGTACCTAAGACTTTCAAAGCCAAGTGTTTGCAGCCTCACATCAACCTTAAGATAGTCTAAGTATAAAGAAAATGGACAGTTTTTCATATTATATATTCATCTTCAACATACAGGTTTTATAAGAATGCAATCATGTGCATACACTAGGGTTAAAGAAAACCCTATCCAGTCAAAAGTTTGTGCACTCAGGTTTTCTATACATGCCTATTCTCAAAGCAAATGACATTTTAATTAAAGATATTAGAGGGACTGAAAAGATATGTCAGTAGTTAAGAGTTTATATCCTTGCAAAGGACATGAGTTCAGCTCCCAGCACCCATGTTGGGTGGCTCACAACCACTGGTAGCTTGAGCTCGAGGGGATCTGATACCCTCCCTTCTCTGGCCTTCTTGGGTCCTTGCACTCACAGGCATAGATTCTCACAAAAGCACATAATTTTACAAAGCCAAATATATATGAAAGATGTTAGCATATAATGACGTTTTGGTCCTTAAAATATTAAGCCAAGATATTATAACATACATAATCTTAAAACATTTATTTACTATTTGCACACTTAAAACAAAGATTAAAAACATAAATTCAGTGACTATGTAAATAGAATGTTTCTGTCGATCACATTCCTAGAACTATTTTAGATGAAATCAAAAGAAACAAAGTAATTTATAACGGAGTTCTTATCCAACACGTTTGAATTAATCACTGATCTGAACCATTTTCCTCTTTCAAATAATATTTTTATTTATTCTTTGAAAAACTCATACATGTATACAATGTATTTTGATCATATCACACTACTACTTTCTTCTAACCCCCCAGGAACCTCCAACACATCTCCCTTCTGACTTTATATTTATTGTTATTGATAAGAAAATATGTACAATGAAATGTAATTCATCTATAAAAAATTACATCATGAAAATTATAGGTAAATGCATGGAAATGGAAAAAATGTTGTGCCTTACCTTCCGATGGTACTCCTGTTGAGTCATATTAGAGAATCTATAATCTAGAGTTATTCCTTGATGGATGACAGAAGCCCCCTTTTCCCTTCCTTTACTTTGCTCCCTTTTATTCCCGCCACACCATTGACTTCTCATCTTTTTTACAATGCTGTCTTTGTTTAATGGCTCTCATCTTATTTCAGATATTACCATCAAATCCCTTGCTTTATTTTAAATGTTATGGTGGAACATCTTGCTCTTTTGTCCTGTAGTTGGGTAACCTACATGAAGACAGCTAATCTGAGAGTTTTATTTGCTCAGTTGCTTTTGGTTCCTTGAGACAGGGTCTCATGTTGCACAGACTGTCCACCACCATACTCAGCTCCAGAGTTCATCTTTCTCCACCTATAAAATAAGAACAATATAGTTAGCTCCCCCATCATATTCAGTGGGCTGTTGTGATACACTGTACAAACGTGGAGTTCTGGTATTAGGAGTGGCATTACAAACTGTCTACACAAAGTCTAGCTTCTTTTTTGTATTTCAGGTTTCTTCCAGTCATTATTCCATCATTACCATTATCACCACAATATACTCAGTATGCTGTCAAACAAGCTGTATACCATTATCACTGTTTAGATTCAGCAAAGCGGATGAAACATAGCCTGTGCTGCATTTGTAGGCAGTAAGTTTTTAATCAAATCCAAAGGCTGATTTTTAATAAACCTTTCCCTGGCATTAGGAAATGAATTTGTTACAGGCTTTTGAACCAATAAAACAAAGGTAATATTTCAAAAACCAAAACAGCGAAATCATGTTTTATATAAAGAATGCTTGATGCATAATCACAAAATTCCTTACATATAGACATTTAAGGCAATCCCATACATACATGAGTGACAAGTAACAGAAAAGATAAAATGAAATTGTGAGAGAGGTGTGTTGCAGTCTCGTGAGATTAAGTCAAATTAAATTAAGCTTTGAGTCTGGCAGTGGACACTGTGAGGATCAGAATCACATGGGCAGATTCCAGAGGGAAATGACTGAGAAATGGAGAAAAAGGAAAGGAAGGATATAGCTGAAGAAGGCTGTAGCTACATAACAGATGAGAGACAGTTGACAGTGGGATTACAGGGGGAATTTTTTAATTTCAATCTTGTGCGTGTGCACGTGTGTGTGTGTGTGTGTGTGTGTGTGTGTGTGTGTGTGTTAAATTTCTAGTATGGGAGTATATGTGTATACTCAGTGTATACATGAAGGTCAGACAATAACTTCCTAAGTTGGTTGTCACCTTCTACCTTATTTTTGACAGTGGAATTTGTTCTGATTTTCACAGCTTCTTTTCTTATATTTTGTGCTTGTTTTTAAAATGCCATTAATATTCCATTATCTATGCATTCTATGCTGTGTCTTAGAGCCAGAAGCTAGAGAGAGCCTGGCATTTTGTCTTTAGGTATGTGTACACTCTATTCCAGTGGCGTAGCATGCGACTTCCACCGTCACAACACGTTAGGGATAGCATTTGTCTTCTTGGTCTTGGAAAACACGACGTCACAGAGGTGCCTTCAGCTAAGCTTCGGTTTCCTGTCCACAGGAATTACCACGGTGCTGACAATGACAACCATCAGCACTCACCTCAGGGAGACTCTGCCAAAGATTCCTTACGTCAAGGCGATTGATATCTACCTGATGGGCTGCTTTGTGTTTGTGTTCCTGGCTCTGCTGGAATATGCTTTCGTAAATTACATTTTCTTTGGAAAAGGCCCTCAGAAGAAGGGAGCGAGCAAACAAGACCAGAGTGCCAATGAAAAGAACAAACTGGAGATGAACAAAGTCCAGGTAATGCATTATATATTACTGATAGTATCTCCATCATTTTTATCAAGGACCGTGCACCCAGGAGTTTTATCAGCCAAAAATTATGTTTGTGAAGTGGTATTTGTTGTTATTAAGGACAAACCATCTCCTCAATTCACAGATTTGAGAACAGTGGATTAAAGAAATGACAATGAAAATTATATAAATGAAAAGCATGTGTATCAGTTTCACATGGTTGTAACAAAATAGCTGAAGCAAACCAATCTTATAAAGAAAAGCAGTTTGCTTAGTACACAGTTTTAGAGGCCGGGAGTCTAAAGAGTACAATACCTCTGCCATTGTGGTTGATGGTAAGTTACATGGAGGACAAAGTGATTATGTCACAAAGCAAAAAGCCAGACAGAAATTTGGGGCTCTCAAAACCCTTTCAGAGAACAGCACCTACAATTAGATCGCCACCTTGCATTAGGCTGTAGCTCTTAAAGATCTACCTCCTAATGTTATCACACTGAGAATGGAGTTTCCAGCACATGAAAATTTGGGGGATACACTTAGCCTATAACTCCACCGTAATATATACCTATGACTGAGGTCAGCCTCAAGCCTGTTATGATTTAGTCTAAGCTATTTGTAAAATTACACATGAAAGGATAATGTGAGCTCTGCTTGATAAACAAAGCAGAGAAGCACAGTGAATAGACTTAGACTCTGTCCCTCAGTGGAACTGAAGTCCTCCATAGAGTGGTTAAGCCAGAAGCTCAGTTCAACCATGAAAGCAACTAGACTAGGGTGGGGGGAGACTTACAAGTACCTCTCACAGAAAAAAAGAACAAATGCAATGCCAAAATTAAAAACAAAGTGTTTTAAATGAAGGCAGAGTAGTTTGTACCAAACTCTCTAATAGACAGAAGTTATTAAAAACTGGCATTTTTAAAATTCTGCTTAAAGATGTAAGTGATGGAAAACAAGCAAAAGAAAGAAAAGAATCGGCCTTCAAAAGAAGAGTAAATTGTACTATGAGAACCGCAGGTGTATGTATGTGAGGTATATAGCTTTCCCCAGCAGCACTTCAGCAGAAAACTACAGTTCTGTTCACTGAATGAGTCAATGCATAGATGCTGATACTTCCAGGGGTATCTGAAATCAGAAGGAAGTAAATAATAGGAGATACTTGTACTTCCTTTGAAGTATTGACTTCCTTTGAATGATCAGGTAAGAGCCCAAGAAGCCAAGATGGCAAATTCATGGTTAGTACAGAGTGTTGGCTAGACAGGATGTGGACTCACCTAGGAGACAAGCCTCCAGGTGGTTTGAGAGGGATTCTTTAGTTTGGGTTAGCCTCTGGGGCAGATTGAGCGATTATCTCAATTAGGTCAATTGAGATAAAAAAAAAAAAAAAAAAAAAAAACAAAGACCCATCCTAAAGAGTGCAGCACCATTCTCTGGGTTTACATCCTGAATTGCATAGAAAAATAAGCAGCTAGCTAAAGAGAGCACTCATTGCTCTCTGGTTCCTGACTATGAACAAAATGTGGTCAGGTTCCTCAAGCATCTGTCTCAGAGACTTCTTGACCATGATGGACAATACTCTTAAATTGTGAGGCAAAGCAATTGCTCTTGTGGGGTATTTCTTCGCAGTAACAGAAAAGGTGGTTAAGGCAACATCAAAGAGAAACACAGTTACAAGACTACAAATTAAACACCAAAAGAACAAAAAAGTTTCAACTGCAGTCCACAATGTGGAATTCAGTACCTGAACTTAGAGTTTGTTTCTAGCCCATTCTTGTAGTAAGTATATTAAGCTTTTCATTAAATCTCCAAAATGATCATAATTTAGGAATAAAGTTTAAGTCATAAGACTAAGGCAAAAAACCTGAAGTAGACTATCTTAATTATGGTTTCTGTTGCTGTGAAGAGACACCATGACCACTGAAACTCTTACAAAGGAAAACGTGCAATGGGGTGGCTCACATGCAGTTCAGAGATTTAGTCCATTATTATCATGGTTGAGAATAAAGGTGGAATACAAGAAGATACGGTACTGGAGCTGGGAGTATTTACATCTTGATCCAAAGATGACAGGAAGTAGTCTGACTCACTGAGTGTGGCTTGAGCATATATGAAACCTCAAAGTCCACCTCCACAGTGACACACTTCCTCCAACAATCCCACACCTATTCCAACAAGGCCACACTTCCTAATAATACCACTTCTTTTGGGGGCCATTTTCTTTCAAATCACCACATGGACCCTCTCTAACAATATATAAAGCCAAATTTCCACCTATTCTAGGTAATACGCTAGTGATTATAATGCATAAGAAAAGAAACCCAAAATTCTTGAGAGATGATAAAACAATCCAGAGTGTCTATAATACATCATTCCAAATATCTAGTACATAGTAAAATATTAAATTACCTGAACAGAAACAGGAAAATGATATCACAACCAAAATCAATATGACTTTAAGACTCCCAAGTGTTGACTTGGAAAGCAAGCACTATAGAATAACTGTAATTAATATATTTGAAAGGCTGTAGGAAGTGGAAATACTAGCCTAGACCTGCAAGCAACCAAAATATTCTGAAATGGATCCATAGAATACTATTTTCATCAGGGTTTTTATTGCTGTGATAAAACACCGTGACCAAAAGCAACTTGGGAAGAAAAGGCTCATTTCAGCTTACATGTCCCAGTTGGAACCATGAAATAGAAGGATGTAAGTCACAGGCTTGAACATGCCATTCAGTGAACTCATATTGCATCCTGTGGAGTAGAAAGGATTAGTTCCAGTTCCATTACTCGGGCTCTTCCCATGGACACTGCCCTTTGGAGATTCCTGAACTGGAACCATGGCTCTCCGCTTGAACTGACTTCTAGTCACTGTTCCTGTGGACTCCCATACCTTCACTGTGCAACTGCTCTAATAGCATGTGTTTGTGTAGTTACTCTTTAGCATTTGTCTCTTATTAGACAGTAGTTTACAACAGGCAACAGGGCCTTTGTCTGCTTTATTTACTATGCTTTCCTCAATCTCTGTAATGGGGTAGAAACCAAATAAGTATGTCTCAAGTGAATGTATGCATTCTAGATAGACTTTCTCCATTAAGAGTTTTCAGAACTTATTCAAATTATTGAATGACATGTCATAATGCTTTATGAATTCTCCCATCTTATTATGAAATGACAGAAGGAGACAATAACCTACTTTAGCTTCTGCCTAAGGCTGTCTTGCTGTTCCTATTTGTGTGTGTGTGTGTGTGTGTGTGTGTGTGTGTGTTTGCTGGGGATTGAACTCAGGACTTCTAGGCATACTAGGCAATGAATTCTCTAATGTTTTTTATCAAACATGCTAAATCAACATGCCATATACTATGAAAAAATAACCCTTAAAGGTGATTAGGACTTTACTGGCTTTTTCATATGTAGATGGAATACTAACTGCACAATGTCTTAGTTAGGATTACTCTTGCTGTGACGAAATATCATGACCTAAAGCAACTTGGGGAGGAAAGGATTTATTTGACTTAAACAGCACTGTCCATCATCAAAGGAAGTCAGGACAGGAACTCAAACAGGACAGGAAGCTGGAGTCAGGAGCTGATGCAGAGATCATGGGGCGGGGGCTGCCTACTGACTTGCTCTCCTTGGCTTGCTCAACCTGCTTTGTTATGGAACCCAAGAGCACATAGATCATCAATCACTAATTAAGAAAATGGCCTATCAGCTTGCCTACAGCCTGATTTTGACAGAGGTGTTTTCTAAACTGAAATTTCCCCCTTCCAGATGACTTTAGCTCGGGCCAGATTAATATAAAACCATCCGACACAAGCAGTGTCGCCATCTCATGTGACTGAGAATGATCCTGCCCATGCTCGGCCCCCTCCCCATCTTCTCAGCCAGGGATTCAGAGAGGCAGTGTGTCCATAACAAATGTCATCGGCTCAGCGTATCATCTCGGGAAGTTAAATAATGTCAGCTGTGCTATTTCAAAAACCAACACGTGGTGGTTAAATTCAAATTTGTAGAAATTAATGTATTTCCCCCTTATCATGGTGGATGGATGATCTTCCTCTTTCCTGTGAGATGCTTGTAAAAAGTTAAACTTGATTGATATGTGTCTAGTCTCTCTGATTTTTTTAGTTTAGAAAGCTCTAGGATTTGCCTCAGCATCCTGGAGTATGGAGTGACATTGTTCATTATTACACGTTATTTTTGACGGCCTCAGCTGGACAGTTAGGTCAAGGGATATCCGGACTGATACCTCAGAAGTGCAGACCCCATATTGATTTACACTTCCACCAGCTGCAGTGAAGCATTTTTTTTATAGGAGTGCAGATGCCAAATCCAGACATTATGAGAGTTTCAATCTCCAAGGTGATAAAGACTGTAGATTCATGAACCCCTCGGGCACCATTTGAAGCTAGGGATGGGATTTCGGGTTTTGAAAGACAGATTTCACAGCCCAACAAGACTTTGAGTAAGCTACCTCTGGGATAGCTTTAAACTAACCGGGAACTTTTTTAGTTGTGTGTATGGGCTACAGAGTCCGCTGTGTGAAAATGGATGGAAGCCGATGAAATGGATGCCGGCATTGTAAATAATGAAGAACACAGGGAGCCTCTATGAAAGATTCATAACAAATGTGCAGTTGCAACCCCAAAGGTTAAGACGGAGAACTTGCTTTCTGTAATTAGATATCAGTTCTGAGATCGGTCTCTTCTCCCTGATGGCCGCTCTTTGTGCTACATCATCCAAACATTGCCAGGCAACTTTCTGCATGTGCAGTGAGTTGTGCACTGTGCTGCTATCCCAAATGCACGTCAAGATGAGTATTTCAAAGGTAAGAAGCTCCGGGATTATGTCAGGAGCATGCCTTCTGGCCTTGGAACCTGGAGCTCAGCACTCATCAGCGGCATCTCCCTTCAGGGTTCCTGGAGAACATAGACCCTGTCAGGTGAAACTGGGTGTCTTGATTTGGCAGCTCAAATGCTACTATTTCCACTGACAAGCCTACGATG